ATACTGTTTCCAAGTGTTTTTCAAAACATATCTTGCACTTGCCAGGACAGTCTTAAGGCTGTCCCTTATCCTCATCCTATCATCTATCAATTCATCTATATATCTACTCCATCTTGTCCCAAACCACAGAAGAAGGGGTGTATACCAATTGTCCTCCCTTCCATATGAACCTCTACCTTACTTAAATCCTGTGCTCAAAGAGTGTTACAGCATACTAGTTGGAAAACTGTAATCTGATTCATCCTGCTGCCTAATTATTTTTTCATTTCCAAAAAATCACTTAAAGTGGAAACCATAACCATATAATCTCCAGGCTTCTAAATTTGGAGATTCTTATGTAGGCAGTATCATTGTAAATCAATATATTTTTGTTCATAATAGCAGAGAAAAAGTATAAAGGAATTTTGCAACCTCAGTATTTTTTAGAACTGGATAAATATTCTGTTTCAGGAATATTTAAAAACTGGCCGGGCGTGGTGGCTCACCCCTGTAATCCTAGCACTCTGGGAGGCCGAGGCAGGCAGATCGCTCAAGGTCAGGAGTTCAAAACCACCCTGAGCAAGAGTGAGACCCCGTCTCTACTATAAATAGAAAGAAATTAATTGGCCATCTGATATATATAGAAAAAATTAGCCGGGCATGGTGGCGCATGCCTGTAGTCCCAGCTACTGGGGAGGCTGAGGCAGGAGGATTGCTTGAGCCCAGGAGTTTGAGGTTGCTGTGAGCGAGGCTGATGCCAGGGCACTCTCTCTAGCCTGGGCAATTAAGCGAGACTCTGTCTCAAAAAAAAACAAAAAAAAAACTTATGGCCCGGTGCGGTGGCTCACCCTTGTAATCCTAGCACTCTGGGAGGCCAAGGCGGGCAGATTGCTAAAGGTCAGGAGTTTGAAACCAGCCTGAGCAAGAGAGAGACCCGGTCTCTACTATAATAGAAAGAAATTAATTGGCCAACTAATATATATAGAAAACATTAGCCGAGCATGGTGGTGCATGCCTGTAGTCCCAGCTACTCGGGAGGCTGAGGTAGCAGGATTGTTTACTACGGCACTCACTCTAGCCTGGGCAACAGAGTAAGAGTCTGTCTCAAAAAAAAAAAAAACTTACAAGACTTAGCATTTCTTTTTTATATATTGAATCTAATGTGTTAAATTTGAATTTTGTGTTCTTTTCAATGCCCTTAAATATTCATAAATGAAAAGATAGTGTGAATTAGCCAACTCTTAAGTAAGTTACATACTGCTATGATTTCCTTTATAAAATGTGATCTAGCCATCTAAGTTATTTTTTCTTTTTCTTTTTTTTTTTTTTTTAGAGAAAGGATCTTGCTCTGTTGCCCAGGCTAGACTACAGTGGCACAATCATAGCTCACTATAACCTAGTTATTTTTCATAAGAATTTTTGTTTCCAATTTTGACATTTTTCATAAGTGTTTTATAATAGAATGTGTTTAATTGAAAGCTAAGAAATTAAGCCTGTGGACCACCAAAAAACAAATATCACATGTTCTCACTCATGTGGCAGCTAAGAAAGTAGCTGCCAAGAAGGTAGAGGGTAAAATGTTGGTTACCAGAGGCAGGGAAGGGTGGGGGATGAAGAATGGTAGGTTAATGGGTATAACATACAGTCAGATAGAAGGAATAAGACTAGTTCAGTAACATAGTAAGGAGACTATAGTTAACAGTAATTTATTATATATTTCAAAATAGCTAGAAGAGAAGAATTGGAATGTTCCCAAAACAAAGAAAAATGTTCAAGGTGATGAACATTTCTATTACTGAATATGATCATTACACATTATATACATGTTTGAAAATATCACATGTACCCCAAAAATATGTACAATCCTTATATATCAATTTTTAAAAAGCAGTTGGAAAAAAGAGGAAAAGCTCATAATAAACCATTTTAGAGTAACAGTCTGAAGAAAGAAAAAAGAAATTAAGCCTATGGAAACAACATGACATAGTTTGAGTAGTTATAATTTTAAGAAAACCTTCTAAACATTAAACTTCATATTGTTCTAAAGTGACAGGCCTCACTTAAAAAAATAAACTTCAGATTGGAAGAGCAGAGACCTGGTATATACTCTGCCTGTGAATTATAGGAGGAAGGAGAGTTTGTGGAACTGCCTTCTAAACCTTCAGGAGATTTGAAAATACACATACTCTCACATTATATCATTGACATAGTATTTAGAGAAGAAAGAGGTACGTAAATTGAACTTTTTCAAGTCAAATACTATGTTTAATGCATAATAATAGCTCACTCTATAAAGCTCACTACATGGAGAAGCAGTGACGATCTAGTCTTTACTATTAATAGCTCTCCCACTTCTAAGCTGCATGCTGGTCATTTCACCTGGATGACCATGTTTGTTTTTCCTAAAAAACAGGAGTCATGCTGCTCTAAAAATGAGTCATGATTATCAAGCCACTTTTAAAACAAAAAGCAATAAATAAACCAGCAACAAAGAATTGTTAATATTCAGAGTTAATCATTATGCTATAATTATGTTTGATAAAGTTACATTTATCAAGTTGTTTTAAGAAATATAAAAAACCGAGGCCAGGCGCGGTGGCTCACGCCTGTAATCCTAGCACTCTGGGAGGCCGAGGCGGGTGGATTGCTTGAGGTCAGGAGTTCGAACCACCCTGAGCAAGAGTGAGACCCCGTCTCTACTATAAATAGAAAGAATTAATGGCCAACTAAAGAGAAAAAAATTAGCCAGGCATGGTGGCGCATGCCTGTAGTCCCAGCTACTCGGAGGCTGAGGCAGGAGGATTGCTTGAGCCTAGGAGTTTGAGGTTGCTGTGAGCTAGGCTGATGCCACGGCACTCACTCTAGCCTGGGCAACAAAGCGAGACTCTGTCTCAAAAAAAATAATAATAAAAAAAAAAAAATAAAAAACTGTCTTAGAGAGTTACACTTATGCCAAGTTTCCCTTTGTTATTGTTGTTGGCATCTTTTGGTATGTTAGCTGTTAAAACACAAGCCTGTGTGCCGTACCACTTCGCAGTCACAAATGTCAGACACGGGAGTGTATGCAGAAGAAGGATTGAATCTCAGGGAAAAATCACACAAAATTGTCTATGTATGTGTATGTGTATGATGCTGCTACCTGTGAATTAATATTCTTCAACACTTGTGTCCACATTTATATTCTCAATTTCATTATTTATAATAGTGATTGTGAACACAGCAAAGTGATAATAAATTACTAACTTGACAGGATACAGTCCTTTTTTTTTTTATCAGAGCTATGTGAAGTTCTTAGTATAGATTTAAAGATGAATGTGTCCATAGTAACAAATATGACTGGATGTGCTGATTGCTTTAGGCCCACTAAAAGTTTATTTTACTATACATAATATTAATTAAAACCATATGTGATATAATTAGTGCTTTATATTCTCTTAAGTAGCTTCTCTCCTTTTTTGTTGCCATTTTACAAGCTATTGGAACCACAGGAAATGATTTCTTCCAAAGATATGTTAATAGTCTCCAGATATCCCCATTTCTTAAATCCTATCAGAATCGAAAAAAATAAAATCTCTATTTACCAACCTATAATCGATTACCCATAATCATTGTTAACTTTTGTTCCTGGCCTTCCAGACATTTTGTGTGTATGTACACATGTGAGTAGTAAATAAGCACTTAATTAGGATAATAGACCTTTCTTATTAGTGTAAGAGTCCCTTTACTTCCTGTGAATAAATACACTAAACCCTTTCTTTGATTTTTTTCAGATGGACTGAGCTGTGTCCAATGATTGAGGCCAGGAAGAATCATGGGCTGGTATTTGTAAAAGACAAGATATTTGCTGTGGGTGGTCAAAATGGTTTGGGTACGTGATATTAATTCACTTTTCCACTTTCCTAATGAGTATGCCAATCCTTTCTTAAATTATTGAATCCTTTCTTAAAATCTAGATACAAGCATTTACCACATATATCATATCTATTTTTATAGTTTCTGGGAATATATTTGATAAAAAAACTGCAGGATGTTAAACAGTCCCTGTCTATGAAATGTCACTAGTGGCCACTAGTCATTGTAGCAGTCTCAGATGGCTCCCATCCATTTCCAGATACGCTCCGGAGAATGGTAACCAGTTTAAGAACTGCTAAGCAGTAAAAACATTTGAACTTTAAAAACCTTTAAAAACTTTTAAAATACAAGCTTTAGGACTTGTTTCCAGGTTCTAAATGGCAAAGTTTCCTAAACATTTTTAAACATTTCATGAAAATATTAATATTATTATTTTTTAAATGACTAAATTTGACCTTTTTATTTTCTTAAATAATTGTGTACTAAAAAGAATCTTAAATAATTGTCTTGAATAACAGGGAGTCCGACCCGAATCTAGAGATAATCCACAAACTTAATTTTAGTCAATACATTTAAGCATTACTTAAGTCTAACAAATAAATAACTTTTTCCCTTCTCCCATCCCCATCCATTGCTATTTTCCATAAACTGCTAAAAGATAGAAGGAAAAAGAAGGACATTTGAATTATAATCAAAGTTAATCCAAGGGGAAATCACTGACTGGTTTACTTTGTGTTTTTTCCAGAATAAATAGAACATTTTTAATTTTGTAGAAAAAAATAGCAATATTTAAAAATTAAAGTTAAATTTCTAGACCAGGCACAGTGTCTCATGCCTGTAATCCCAGCACTTTGGGAGGCCAAGGCAGAAGGATCACATGAGGCCAGGAGTCCAAGGCTGTGGTGAGCTATGATTGAGTCACTGCACTCCAGCCTAGGCAACAGAGTGACACTGTTTCTAAAAAAAAAAAAAAAAAGATAAATTAAAATAAATTTCTATTATAAGAATAAGAATTTAGGTGGCGGGTATGTGGGTATTCATTGTACAATTTTTACAACTTTTCTGTGTGCTTAAAAACTTTTATAATAAAATATTGGAGAAATACAAAAAAATTACTTTAAGAGAATTGTTCATATAGTTTTTCATGTTCATGTTTTACTCTTTTGAAGGTGGTCTGGACAATGTGGAATATTACGATATTAAATTGAATGAATGGAAGATGGTGTCACCAATGCCATGGAAGGGTGTCACAGTGAAGTGTGCAGCAGTTGGTTCTATAGTTTATGTCTTGGCTGGTTTTCAAGGTGTGGGTCGATTAGGACACATTCTCGAGTATAATACTGAAACAGACAAATGGGTCGCCAATTCCAAAGTCCGTGCTTTTCCAGTCACAAGTTGTTTAATTTGTGTTGTTGATACTTGTGGAGCAAATGAAGAGACCCTTGAAACATGAAAAATGAGTGGACTTTAAGACTCATTAGACTCAAAAAAAAAAATATGGCCACCAGTGCTTTGTTCCAAGAGTTTGGTTACAAAGTTTTGGTTTGGTGTTTTGTTAAAGAAAGTTTCAAGTGAAGTAAGGTCCCTGTCAAATGTTTCATTTATATGGATTTCCTTACTTAATTCAAAGACCATATTTTAGCTGGCCATATAACCAAGAACATATCTAGCAAGAAAACTTGAAAAATTATAGGCATTTGGTGAAAATATGAATTTCACGTTTGTAACTATAATTTTGGCAGAGTGGGGAATTGGCTCATCAGTGAAGCAGGCTCATCTTAGCTCTAGATTCTATTTTCATACATCACAGAAGTGCTGTGTAGTTAGGTCTGTTTGTTTCTGTTCAATCAAGAACTAAGAAATAGTATGAATTGTAAGTCAAAATGGGCAACTCTGATGGAGCAGCTTAGTCTCACATAGTTTTGCTTGTCTTCATTTGTTTCATTTAGTGCCAAATGTATTCCATTTTAATAGCAAGCCAGAGTGAGTCAAGGCATACACACTCCATAAAACTTTATAAACAGATTTTGGGACTTAATCTGTCCAACTCCTCACGAAATATATTCAGTCAATTAAATATGTTCCATCTTTTTAACATGCAATGTTAAGCTTAGCACCCATCATTAACTTATGTCACTATTTTACCCAGTGGTTAAAAAAGGATTCCACTTCTTTAATCCTCACTCTTACAAAAAATCCAATCATAAGAATGATTAACTAGAAAAATAAAGCTATTTGTAGCAAATTTCTAGATCATTAGAAAAGCACTGCTAGTTGTACCGCATTATCAGGGTTGACTTTGAACTTCTTATGGATTAAAAAGATACATGACTTCTTTTCTCTTAGCAGAATATATCAGAGATATTTAACCCAGTTGTCTCTAAATAGTTTTGGAGTAATATGAGTTAAATAGATATCATCTTCTATTCATTGTTTTTATGTGGTCAATAAACCTTTTGCAAACCCAAGTACTCATTTCTTTCCTAGCAATGTTTTGCCCTTTTCACTATGTATGGAATGAGCCATGTAAAGCCGTCACCATCGATGTTTTTATCTGATGATATTAAATATTTTTTAACTTAAAACAGACTGCTCAGTTCTATTCCTTCTTCATTTTAAATGTGTTAAGTAATGGTTATTAGAATTTGTGAAACAATGTCATTTAATTTTCAGTTTTCTTTATGTGGAGGTTATAATAGTCTTAAACCCTAAAAATGCTTAAATTAAAATGAATTAGAAAAAACATAATAGGAATACTTATGTAGGTTTTTTAAATGTACTCAACAGCTTTATTGGGATATAATTCACATACCATACAATTCACTTATTTAAAGTGTACCCTTCAGTGATTTTTAGTATATCCACAGAGTTGTGCCATCACTATAATTTCAGAATATTTCCATGACCCCAAAAAGAAACCCTATACTCATTAGCCATGTCTCCTTATTTTCTCCCTGTATTGGCTTCCTAGGGCTGCTGTAACAAATTACCACAAATTTGGTGGCTTAAAACAACAGAATGTATTCTCTCACAGTTCAGGAGGCAAGAAGTCCTAAATCAAGGTGTCAACAGGATTGGTTCCTTCAGAAGACTCTAAGGCAGAAACTGCCCATGCCTCTCCCCTTGTTCCTGGTGGTTGTCAGCAATCCTTGGTATTCCTTGGCTTATAGCTGCTTCACTTCATTCTCTGCTTGTCTTCACATGGCCTTTTCCCGTGTCCTATAGCTTTACTTGGTGTTCTTGTAAGGACAGTATAGCCTTCCCTCTCCCCAATCCAGTATGACCTTATCTTAACTAATTATTAAGACATCTGCAAAGACCCTATTTCCAAATGAGGTTACATTCTAAGGTTCTGGGTAGACATGAATTTTGGGGAGACACTATTGAACCCAGAACCCCCCAAATACCAGAGTCCTAGGCAACCACTAATCTTTCTGTCTCTAGATCTGACCATTTTTATGTGTGATTTTGAACTTTGCACTTCATTGAAAACATGTACCTAGTTTAATTTTTTTGAGGGCAGAATATTTATAATATGGTTATATTAATGTTGATAATCTCTCTTATAGAATACTGTTTAAGATATCTTAAACACTGTTTAAGATATCTGTAGTATACTCGTCTTTTTCAGCTGTGTCAACTAACTAGAACACACTATAGAAAGTATGTGGACAGGTTTGATGTAGTTTATAATAAAGTTTTTTCCCCCTTAGTAATTTGTATCATAATTCCTAATTATTGTCTTTTTCTGCCTTGGAAATACTGTACAAAATTGTCAATTCCAGAATAATGGGTAAAAGTACAATTCCAGAATAATGACAAGTACATTATCTGTTACTTTTTTCCAAAAAAATCCTACTTTGTAAAGTTCTTTTTTAGTAGACATTTGATATGTTAATGTTATATCCTTTGCAATGACATCATTTTGATGACACAGCATCAAAAATGACAATTTGAACATGAGACTTTAGCATTGAAAAAAACTTCTTATAAAAAATAGTAATTACAGTTGTGACTTTGTGGCTTAGCTTTCAAAAATTTGACATATTCTCATGAAAATTTTGTCATGAATTATTTTGATATACTACTAACAAAATCAAAATGAGCCATATAGTAAATAATTATTCAACCAAGGAGCCTATATTCCTTTTGTCTTATATATTATTACCATGAAAAATTCTGGATTTGCTGTATATGCCAGGGTAAAGGAGATGGTTAGAGGAAATTTTGCTTTTTAAGTTTAATACTCTTAACATATACCAAAGACTTGAGAAAATCCAATTTACTCCAACATCGCACCAAAACAGCTCTCACTAAATCCAAATAGTTTGGTTACACACAAAGATATTTATAGGTTGCATCATTCAACACTTGATAAATCCTTATTTTAGTTGCCTCAAACAACCTTTAAAAGCTTGAATCCACTTTTATCTTCCTAACTTTCCTTTTTCCCAAGATGTTTTAAACTAGGAAAAATCAAAATTAAAAAAATAGTCTGTGCTAGAAAATTGTCTGAAATATTATCCTTACTAATTAGAAAGCTTTTTACTTTCCAGAACTTTATGCACTCTCTCATGACAAAAGTTGTAAAATGAGGTTCAAGATCTAGTTTGAGTCTTATAAAGCAGCTGTCCCCAAACTTTTTGGCACCAGGGACCATTTTCATGGAAGACAAGTTTTCCACAGACAGGGATGGTTTTAGGGTGATTCAAGTCCATTATATTTATTGTGCACTTTATTATTACATTGTAATATACAGTGAAATAATTATACAACTTACTAGAGGTTGGGGATCCCTGTTATAAAGGATTCCTCTGACTTTCTCTTCCAACCCTCTAATTTGTTCCCACTGTCCATGTTTTCCAAGAGCATTTTCTTTTTATGATCGTTCTGTATGGTATGGTGTTCTTGTTTCATGTTATCCTCTGAGGATATTTTCTTTAACATTTTTTTAAGCTTTTGTTTCCTCTAACTTCTGTTGTTTATTCTTTCTTGTTGGTGCCTGTCCTCAAATATATGGTCCCTGGCTGTGCATTTACATTTGAAATGAAACATTAGTGATAATTTGGGAATATAAGGATGAACTTTATTATGTGGCGAACAAATGACCAAGCTGCTTTTGTTGAGAATTCATGAGAAATACATAAGTATTTTTCTGGATGTTTGATTCTGTAGAAAATAATCCTACAATTTCTTTTCCTTTGGGAGGAGGGAGGGCAAATTGGAAAAAGGGGACCTGTAAGCCTAGCTGCAGGATTTCTGGAGCTCAGGCAAAGGGGATTCTAAGTCACCATTCAATAAGCGTAAGCTCTCTCTGTACCCATTGTCCTGGAATCTGAAGCCTCTCATTCCCTTTTTTCAAGGAAGATACCTATCTCCTATCAAATTGAGATACTTGGCTCACTTGGTGGGTTTTGGGAGCTAAGTTCTAACCATACCTTATACAGGTTTCAACACAATCCACCCTTCTGTGGTACCTGGTGGCTCTTAATTCCTCAGGCTTTATGGCCTTCTGGGGACTCATGTCCACCTTACACAAATTTAATTTGACCTTCTACTTGTCTAAGTAGACAAGTTTAAATTTACTTTCTATTCTTCTTCCATCTGCATTCAGTGTTCATAAATTGTGGTTTGAGATTATGTATATCTCCTAGTATCATCAAAGATGGTGTTTTTGCTTGTTTTCCCTTTTGAGATATTTGAGAGGAAGGGGAAAACAAGTATTTTTACTCTGCCATCTTGAAATCACTAGAAGTTTCCTTTCTGTAATCCCACTCTCCTGATTTCCACCTATACCCGTCACCAAAATTATTACTACCAAGTTCTGTAAACCTCAGCCCTAGACTCTCATTGTCTCACACAGCGCACCACCTAGACAACCAGGATTCTGACCTTGCCCTTCTCCACCTTCACTGAACACTGTGCTTACCATCACTTAAGCTTCAGCCACCACTGGTATTGTTTTAGGTCTTTGATCCCAGCAAAGTCTTTACACATGCTGGCATTTACAGGTATGAGAAGTCAGTGGCTACAAAGAGATACTGGTTAATACAAGCAGATAGCAAAATATATTAAAAATAATGGAAACCTAGTTTCTCACTATCAAAGAAGGGAGTTTTACAACTATAGGAGGAAAATAAAATGAATCCTGTCATCTTGGATTGGAATTAGAGATTATTGGTGTGAACTCAGTTCTCAATACATACATATAGATATAAAAATACGTACTGATATTGGCCAGGCTCGGTGGCTCACACCTGTAATCCTAGCACTCTGGGAGGCAGACGCAGGTGAATCATTGGAGCTCAGGAGTTTGAGAGCAGCCTGAAGCAAGAGTGAGACCCCATCTCTACTAAAAAAAAAAAAAGAAGAAGAAATCAGCTGGACAACTAAAAATACATAGAAAAAATTAGCCAGGCATGGTGACACATGCCTGTAGTCTCAGCTACATGAGAGGCTGACGCAGAAGGATTGCTTGAGCCCAGGAGTTTGAGGTTGCTTTGAGCTAAGCTGACATAGTGGCACTCTAGCCCGGGCAACAGAGTGAGACTCTGTCTCAAAAAAAATAAAAAATAAAAATATATACTGATATAAATGTATGTGTGTTTTCTAGCAAGGTTCATGAAAGGGCCTGGGACTAAAGACATCACAATAGCAATGAGCATACTTAGAGCTCAGATCTTGGTTTCTAAGTACTACCAAAAGGACCCCAGGCTCCTTGAAATGACTGATTCCAGGACTGGAGCAGAGAAAATATAAAAATTAGCCTACAGCATCTCTTTGGCTCAGAAAGTAAAGAAGTGCTCAAATCATCATGGGGATTTTTTTGTCCTTTGTCAAATGGACAAAAGCGCTTAAAGGGGTTCCCACTAGTCAAACTGGGGATGACTGGAACATCAAAATAAATTATAGGGGTCAAATGCAGTGGCTCACACCTGTAATCCTAGCACTTTGGGAGGTTCACTTGAACCCAGAAGTTCAAGACCAGCCTGTGCAACATAATGAGACCCTATCTCTACCAAAAAACAAAAGTTAACCAGGCATGGTGATGTGCACTTGTATTCTGAGCTATTCTAGAGGCTTAGGTGGGAGGATCGCTTGAGACCAGGAGTTCAGTTTGCAGTAAGTTATGATCAGGCCACCATACTCCAACTTGAACAACAGAGCAAGACCCTATCTCTTTAAAAGAAATGATAGAAATGGATCATAACCCATGGAATAAAACTGGAAATCGTGAGTCCATACCGATAGGAATAAATGAATGAACTAAAAGCTTACTAAGCAATCGGATTTTTATATACTTTCAAAGTACCTCCCCACAAAATTATTAAGAAAAGAGTAATTTTAAGGTGGAGCAGATTGGCAGATACTACCTTAAGTGATCAAAGTGAACATCACAGATAATGGGACAAATTGAAATTGTGCGCAACATGCAATATGAAAACCACAGTATCACTTCCATAATAATACTAACAAAAATGCATAATCTGAGTATAATTGTGAGAAAACATCAAACATCTTCATTGAGTAACTTCTGCAATATAACTAACCTGTAATTTTCAAGAGTGTCAAGGTTATGAAAATCCAAGGAAAGGTTGAGGAAATGTTCCAGACTGAAGGAGACACATGAAATATGACTAAGACACAATGATTCTGAACTGGGTCCTTTAAACGGCATTATTGGGACATTTGGCAAAACATGAATGGAGTCTAAGGATTACACAGTAGTAATGCATCATTCATAGTAAAGTCCTAATTTTGATGACTGTTGTGGTTAGGTAGGAGAATGTCCTTGTTTGTAGGAAATATACAGTAAGTATTTGGGTGATGGCACATTGTTGGCAACATAGTCTCAAAATGGTTCAGGAAAACGTTCTTTGTACTGTAACTCTAACATAAATTTGATTGTTTCAAGGAAAACGAATTACATTGATTAAAAAAAAAAAAAACTAGTTTGCACTAGTAGTTCCCAGGGCTCCTGTAGATTCTGCTGTCCTCAAAATGCAAAGTAGGTGAGCAGTCTTGTATATTTCTGGATACAGCTGGAACCCATTCTACTAAGTGAAGTATCTCAAGAATGGAAAAACCAGCACCACATGTACTCACCAGCAAATTGGTATTAACGGATCAACACCTAAGTGGACATATAAGAGTAACATTTATCAGGTGTCGGGAGGATGGGAGGGGGGAGGATATATACAATCACAACGAGTATATACAACCACAAAGAGTTAGATGTGCAACATTTGGGGGATGGACGTGCTTGAAGCTCTTACTCGAGGGGGAGAGGGGCATGGGCAATATATGTAACCTTAACACATGTACCCCATAATACGCTAAAAAAAATGCAAAGTAGGTGAGCAAGATCAATGGCTCACCCCAACCCAATCGTCCTAAAAACTACCAAGACAAATCTATAATCCAACGAAGTCAGATTTATTGACTCATTGCAACCAAGGAGACTGTGCACCAGAGGGACTGTTGGTGGTCTCACCATACGAAATAAAAGGTAGTTATTGTATTGGGGGGAAGAGTGGAGTTTAGGTGAAATTTAAATGAAATCGTTTTGTTAGGCCCAAAGCAAAGGATACCTTTGTGTAAAGGCATCAACATCAGGTCTGGACTAAGAAATGAATATAGGGTCTTATTTCCGTGGAAACTGCAAAATTAATAAAATATAGAACGTTTTCAGAAATCCTTTATTCGAAGCCCTGCACCTGGGTAGAAATTGAGGCTGCATCTGCGTCAAAGTGATTAAGATCCTCCAGGCAAGAATGGGATGTTTCATTCTTAAGTAATTTCAAATAACAAAGTGTAGCTGGACTTTAATGAACGTTTCCCAGTGTGTAAGAATGTAGTACTCAAAGAGGAGTTATTATACTCTTCCGTTGCAGTGTGTCCTAAAAAGAACCTTAAAAGATACATTGTTTCCTATTACATAACAGCCGGCTGTATCTTTCTTGTCCATCCTAATGAATACCTGGGCAATTTTCCACTTTCTCAGCCAGAGTTTTTACTGTCTCCGCAGTTACAAATGAAAAGGACGCCTCGGCCTCTAAAATGAGAGCTAATTCTCCTCTCAGGTCCTCACTGAACCTCTGCGTTTATTTAACCTGCTTTCCTCTCATTTTTCGGACCTTAAGCCTCCCTAAAGTCCGAGGCCCTGCACCCGGGTCAAACGCATTCCCTTTCTCTACGTAACCGTTCAAACATCCCGCCTTCCCCGCGTGCGTCACGGCAGTCCGCTCTTCTCAAGTCCTATTGGCTAGAATCCACGTCTCTCAGCGCTACGGGAGCAGAAGAAGAGGGAAGGGGCCTTCTCCCGCCGCGAGAAGATGACGTCACAGTAGCGGGTTAGGCGCCCTCGGTTGCTCCGGGCCCTCTGCTAGCTGACTGGTGCTGACTGAAAACCCCTGTGTTGGCGACGCCGTCGCCATGACCATCTGTCAATTCTTCCTTCAAGGCCGTTGCCGCTTTGGAGACCGGTGCTGGAACGAACATCCCGGTGCCAGGGGTGCAGGCGGGGGACGGCAGCAGCCACAGCAACAGCCCTCAGGTGACGCTCCCCTCAATCTTCTGCCGCAAGCCGAGCGGGGAAGGCCTGGCAGGAGGCCGGCCGGATGACCTGGGCCGTCCCACGGGTGTCCCAGTGCTGGGCTCAGCGCCGCTTCGCGCCAGTCAGGTGACCCGGATGTGCCCGCGTCGCGGCCTCGTTGGCCCCGCCCACCGGGCCCGCGTTGTTTTTTTACCCGACATTTCTAGCCGAGGGTTGGGCGTGTGGTCGGTTGTAGTTGAGCGGGCCAGGACAGGCGTTTGGCCCCGGATGCTCATGCCAAACAATGAGTGCTTAAATCGGAAGTGTCTATCTAAACTACCTTGTCGGTGAATGGCAGTGATTGCAAAAATTCTCGTGAGTCGACACCGAGCCTCCTTGCTTTACTATCCTTATGTTTACTTGGTTTCTTCGCTTGACACCTTGAATATAATATTTACTAAGTTCTTTTTTCGAGAGAGAAGCTAACGACTTGGGTCAGAATCGGGACTTTTCATTGTGGGGGAGTCGCGAAGTCTTTTGAAAATCTAATTAAAGCCGCAGAGCCACACCGCTGAAAAACGCACATGTTCGTAAAATTGGGAAGGTGGGACGCGGGGTAAGAACTCTCCAGATTGTGGGGAAAGGGAATGTGGGGGCCAGGTTGACCTGCTCCCTGGATGTATGTCATTGTTAAAGCTTTTGTCTTCAAGGAGAGGAGGGAACAGACATGAAACCATTGCACAACACAGGATTATAAAGGTCAGACGAATAATTATGTGTTATTTTCTTAGCACTGGAATTTAGTGCTTTAAAGTATCACAAGGTTAGAATCTGAGGGTATTTTGTCAAAAAAAAAAAAATAAAGTATCACAAGGTGCTGTCTCCTTCACTCCCTCCTTTATTCATCTGACCTTGAAACCTTGTGTTGCATCGTGATTTCACATCTCATCCCTCTTCTTAAAGACACTTCTTTTGGGTCATCTGCAATTGGTCTAGTGAAATATTCCAAACCAAAAATTAGGACTCAGGAGATCTGATAAGTATATTTTCAGGAACAACAGAGCGTGATATTTGACATTCTGTGGAGACTTTCTCTTAATGTAATTAGAAAATAAATGTTGCGGCTGGGCGCGATGGCTCACACCTGTAATCCCAATACTCTGGGAGGCCGAGGCCGGTGGATTGCTCGAGGTCAGGAGTTCAAAACCAGCCCGAGCAAGAGTGAGACCCCCGTCTCTACTATAAATAGAAAGAAATGAATTGGCCAACTAATATATATAGAAAAAATTAGCCGGGCATGGCGGCACATGCCTGTAGTCCCAGCTACTCGGGAGGCTGAGGCAGGAGGCTTGCTTGAGCCCAGGACTTTGAGGTTGCTGTGAGCTAGGCTGACGCCACGGCACTCACTCTAGCCTGGGCAACAAAGCGAGACTCTGTCTCAAAAAAAAAAAAAGAAAAGAAAAGAAAACAAATGTTGCACGGAAAGATTGATGGATGAAAAAAGTATAAATAAAACTTGACAGATAAACGGTGTATAGTCCCCAGAAACAAATGAATGCTTCTAGAGTTATAAGTAAGTATGAAAACCAAAAGCGACATACAAATGGAAGTGAATTTTAGTTGTGCCATCCCAGATAGAATTTGGTACTTTAGGGGAAAAGATACCATTAACTCATACTTGAGGGATCTGGTCCTCCCTTTTCTTTTTGGATTTATTAAGTAGTTTAGAGTTGGGAGATGAACTTTCATGACTGGGCATATGTCTCATCATTCCAATTTTTAATGTTTTTGATGGAATATCTCCTAATTCAGTCAGAAAAAGGCTCATTACCTTTATTTTGGCCCTAAATAGGAAGTGATGAGTAAATGAGATTGTTGAAGTGATAAAATTAAAGACAATTATAGAGAGGCCGGGTTCAGTGATCACTCATGTAATCCTAGCACTCTGGTAGGCAGAGGCAGGAGGACTGCTTGAGGCCAGAAGTTCTAGACCAGCCTAAGCAAGATTGAGACCCCATCTCTAGAAAAAACAGAAAAATTAGCCCAGTGTGATGCCACACATCTGTAGTCCCAGCTACTTGGAAGGCTTAGGCAGGAGGATCACTGGAGTCCAGGAGTTTGAGTTTGCAGTGAGCTCTGATGATGCCAATCCACTCTAGCCTGGGAGATAGAGCAAGACCCCATGTCAAAAAAAAAAAAAAAGAAGACAACATAGAGACAGGAGAGAATCCTGTCTACTCATTTTGCTATTTATGAAGTATTAGAAGTCTCATAGAGGAACTAGGTACACTTCAATCACATGTAAGTTACCTCTGTACTCTCTCTGTGAAAGATAGGTGCGTAGGTGTTGTTTTCCCAGAGGGAAAACTGAGTCATGTAGACATAAGCATCTATTTAAGTACAAAGGATAGAATCTGATGTTTTTTATTCAACAAACTCTTTAATTCATTGTCCATTTTTCAGCCTATCCTACAATATATGGCCACGTGGAGGAGGAAAGAATGATACAAACACAGCTTTTTATCCTGAAGAAGCTTATGATTTAGGATGCATGCCTTCTGTCTACTCCACTCTCAAATAATTATTTATTTAATAAACTACTCAGCTGAATTTAGTAATATATGATTATTTTCCTATGGATTTATAGCCCTCTCAATCTCATTAAACAAAAATGCAATCAGACTATTGTGTGATTTGTTGATATTACACCTGACTGCTATATATAAATCAAAATGAAGAGATTATCATTTTAAATGAATAGAAGTGTGGTACTTGTTGAATCTTTATATAATTCTAAACACAATAAGACAAGATATAATGAAGATTTTTGAGATTTAAAAGAGGATTGCTAGTAAAGTTATTTTGTTTTATTGTTTATTTTAGGTAGTAACAGACGTGGATGGAATACCACCAGCCAGAGATATTCCAGTGTCATTCAGCCATCCAGTTTCTCCAAACCAACACCATGGGGGGGCAGCAGAGATCAAGAAAAGCCATCTTTCAGCTCTTTTGATTCTGGAGCCTCAGCTAGTAGGAACAGGGGCTTTGGATTGTCAGAGAACCCATTTGCTTCACTTAGCTCTGATGGACAGAAAGATGAAAAGAAACTTCTGTAAGTGAAACCCTTGCAGAAAATTACTACCCATTTGCTTATTTTTTTCAAAAGCACCTACAGTATTTTTTAAAAAGAAGTAATGCATTATTAAAAATCAGAGTGAGCAAAAAGAAGAAAAATCGCCCATGATCATATCACTCAGGGATAACCTTGCTATCTTGTCTCTTGCTATCATATATATTATACTAGACTTTATTTCACTTTAAAATATATCATCTTTTGATATTAGTAGAGGGCCTTTGTAGAGCTAATTATACTTTTTCCACTTTCTATTTTTAACACTGTATTGTGAATATCTTTCTAAGGTTAGTCCTGCTTAAGTTTATTCTAAACTATGAGTTCTTTACAAAGTATGAGGTATTTTAGAACAACTTGTGATCTTGGAGGTCACTTATAGCAGCTCTTATTTCTTTCTAAACCCTTTCTTTTGATTACCCTATTCAAACGATTTAATTTGATTTCCTTCATTTATTGTGGAGTAGATTCATGACATTTCTTGAGAACATTCCTGGTAAAATTTATGACTGGTGCCAAAACAATACTTGGCTGTCTGTAACATTCCCTCAGTTCATAGCTTCCAGGAGGGAATTTAATATACTTGGTTAACCGTTTTTTACTTCCCGTAACTAAGTCAGAACCAGTGGTAAACATTTTGAGCCATGTACCATATACAATTTATTTTTTTAAAAAAGTAGAAGAACAAATAAAACTCTACTTTCTATATTTGTTGCATTCCTGAACTTAATAATCTCTGTGATATCTATCATTTTATTATTGCATTCTGGATGGGGGAAACTTTAATGTAGAACCAGATCTATTGATGGCTTTGTCACAAATTAATTGTATGAACGTGGGTCTGCTTCTCCTGTTGCAAAATGTGAGAATTAGGCAAAGTGGTCTCTGAAATCCTATAACTCACTTTTAAAATTTTATGATTCTATCATTTAAGTAGTACTTTGTTCCCAATTAAATGATCATTGATGTTTATGATAATGAGCAAAAAAAGATTAAAGTTAGTATTGTGTATTTTATTATACTTTAATTCTTTTAAAAATGTATGGTGAGTATGATAGTTTTTCAGTATATTTGTTAATGGTTCAGTATATTGGAAAACCAAAATTATTAACTTAACCATGAAATATAGTTCATATTTCTATAAGCTTCTGCTTTAAAGAACACTCTTCAGAAAATGTAATGGGAAAAATTTAACAGTATGTATTTGCTAGAATTTTAAGTTTCAGTCATTGAAAATGATAAACAATAAATTTTGCCAAGTATTAAAAAGCTACTTTACTTTTTTTTTTTCTTCTTTTTTTCAGAGAAGGAATTGTAAAAGATATGGAGATTTGGGAATCATCAGGGCAGTGGATGTTTTCCGTTTATTCACCAATAAAAACAAAACCTAATATTTCAGGTAACTGAAAAATTGTGTTTTCAAAATGTGTTCTGTGGTCTGGGCAAGGCTTATACCTGTAATCCCAGCACTTTGGAAGGCCAAGGAGAGAGGACACCTGAGGCCAGGAGTTCAAGACTAGCCTAGGCAACATAGTGAGACCCCATCTGTACAAAAAAATTAAAAAATTAGCTGGGTGTGGGTGCCTGTAGTCCTAGTTACTCAGGGAGGCTGAGGTGGGAGTATCTCTTGAGCCCAGGAGTTTGAGGTTCCAGTGAGCTGTAATCACACTACTACACTCTAGCCATGAATAAGTAAGTACATACATAACTTAATAAACAAGCAAACACACACACACAAACAGCTACAATTAAGAGAGTTTGGACGGTGTTTAAAGTATTCAAGTATTTAGCCGAATTTCATAATCAGATTGAGTTTGGAGAATATAGTTCTTTTAAGATATATAGTTCTCATGAGAAAATAATTAAATCAGGACCCACCATAATTCCAGTCCTGTAAACCCAGGAAGAGGCTCTGCTTTCTTGGTTCTCCATATATACAACTTCAGAACCTCTTTAGCTGCCTGCAGTGAATGGAAGAGCCATGTCCTGCCTGCCATTAAGACCTTGGTGCCTGGTTCTGTTCTTTTTTCCTGTCTTTTTTCTAAGAATAGTTATTTTTCATAAAGCATGTCAAGACTTATCCTGGAGATGTTTGAAGGTGAGGAGCTTTAGCTGGACCACAGGAATATTCTTTAGAGTACCCCTTTCCTTCCCATTTTCTTTTGTCTATGGTCCCTAATCCCTTTCTGGGCTAAAACCTAGACCACCAGGCTTTTCCGAGCCCACTCTGGGTGGTCCTGGGCCTCCATCCTATTGATAGGTACCTAGCAAATGGGAGCACTTGCAATCACTGCCCCAGAACCCTGGGATCTCTGTCCTGTCTTTGCTATACCTATCGATTCTCTGTGAGCATTCATATCACAGCACTCTTTTCTTATTTATTCACTCATTCATTTAACAAATATTTATTGAATTTCTTTTGTGCCAAGTGCTAGGGATTTAGTGATGAGCAAGACACATAAAATCTCTCCCTTATGAATCTGTTCTTGAGGGAGTGAGATAATAGGTAATGCAAATAAATTAAGATAATTTCAGATAGTGATATTTTCTATAAAGAAAATAAAGTGTTAAGCCTTTAGTCAGTTTAAGTACTAATACTTAATTAGCACTTAAGTATTAAGTCTTTTTAGTATACGTGCTGCCGAAGCGAGCACATTAAGTATTAAGTCTTATTCAGTTGAGAATTGAACGTAATACCTAATGACCCAAAGCAGTGATTCTCAGAATGTGGAATATGGATCCTTGACTAGGGTTGACAGGTAAAATACAGGACATTCAGTTGAATTCAATTTTCAGATAAAGAATAATAAGTATATGTATATCCCATGTATGAATAATATTTGGGACACATTTATACTAAAAATATATTTGTTGTATGTTTGAAATTCAGATTCAACTGGACATCCTGTATTTTTATTTGCTAAATCTGGCAACTTTATGCCTGAGGCCCTTTTAGAGGTAGCACAGGTGCAAAAATATTTTTATAATAATACTAAAACAATTGCTATTTGCACTGTTAGTGCAAAGGCATTGATGAGTAAAACTGCTTGTATCTTAGCATGAATCAAGGCAGAGGCAACAGACTAGTAGTAAACTATATAGTCACAGTAAAAATATTTTAATTCCATTTTAACTTAAGAATGTCCTTGGCGAAGAGGTAAAAGTTATTAATTTTGTTAACCTTGACTCTGAGTACACATCTTTTTATTATTCTGTGTGACAAAATGAGAAGCACGCTTAAAGTGTGTCTTCCCCATACTCAAGTGTGATGGTTATGCTGAGGGAAAGCACTTGTTTGATTGTTTGAGTTGTGAGCTGAGCCAATCTAGCCACTTTTTTCAAAGATGATTTTTATTTGAAAGAATGGCAACTATGATTATTCAGACTTAGGGATTTGGCAGATATTTTCTAAAAAATGAAATGAGCCTGTCACTTCAAAGAAAACAGCTGACATTGTTTATTGCCAAGAACAAAATTCAAGCTTTCAAGCAAAAATTAGAATCATGGAAAACTCTTTTGTGTTACCATGAACATGATGGCTTCTCGATGAGATGGTTGGCAACATTAACAAATGTGAATTTTTTGATATTGTATAATGACATGCCAACATTTGGAAGTTCTGCCTAACTCAGTGAATCGGTATTTTTCCAAATGACCAATATATGATATTACAAAATTATACATGGTTGAAAATCTATTCTACATGCATGATAAACCAGTGGAGTTTAATATACTAGTATAAAAAATTAATACAGCTTAAGTCTACATTGTAGCTAACCTTTAGGAAACTATCATTTGCAAAGTTTTGGTGTAATATCAAAGAATGTCCACAATTATTTGAAAACTTGTCCACAAGTCTTCCTTTTCCAACTCCATGTCTCTCTAAGTATAGATTTTTATCATACACTTCCACTAGAACAACATTGCAACAGAAAGAATACAGAAGCATGTATAACAATCCAAATGTTCTATTAAGCCAAATAGTAATGAGCTTTACAAACAAAACAATGCTATCCATCTCACTAAATTTTTGGGTTTTGTTTTGGAAAATAGTTTTTTTGTTTATGTAGATATATAATTAGTTTCTTATTTTTAAATCAATTATAAATTTCTCAGTTTTCATTTTGAATGTGGTAATTATCAATCTATGTAACCTATGTAAACAAAAGCTCTTTGGAGTTCTTAATTATTTTTAAGAATGTAAATGGGTCCTCAGACCAAAACGTTTGAGTACTGCTGTCTTTAGGAATCTATTTTATATAGATATGTATTTTTTAAATTACATTCCAGAGAAGGAATGGGTCAACCCCCAAGAGTGGAAGAGACATATGTTAATATAATGAGTTAACTTTTTCTCTGCAGTTAGAATGATACTACTTTTGTACCACTCTCTTAAGAATTTAGAAAATAGTCACTCAAATCATTTTCTGTATTCTGTGGTTCAAAGGAGGAACCCCAGTTGAGTGTGGCTGGAAGGAATGAATAGAAAGTAACTAGGGGGACAGTGTTTCTTTGTTAGATAGAGTGGTTATCCATTCCTAGGAGTGTTGGAGCTGTGTCCTGAATGAAGAGACGGTATCAGTTATGGGAAGATTTGGGTGAAACATTCCTGGCAGTAGAAATAGCTAGTGCAGAGTCTCTGAAGTAGGAACAAGATTGGCAGTGTTTGAAGACTAGTGAGGCCTGAATCACTGGAGGAGAGTAAACAAGGGAAAGAGTAATATGGCATAAGACCAGAGAGATCCAGGGGCCAGATCATGTTGGGCCCAACTGCACTTGGCAGTGGGCAGCCATGAAGAGCATTAAGCAGAAGAGGAATATGATGTGATGAGAAATAGCTTACTCAGTTCAGGCATGGTAGCTCATGCCTGTAATCCTAGCACTTTGGGAGGCCCAGGCAGAAAGATCGCTTGAGGCCAGGAATTTGAGATCAGCCTGAGCAAGAGCAAGACCTCATCTCTACAAAAATATAGAAAAACTAGCTAGGCATGGTGGTGTGTGCCTATAGACCCAACTACTCAGGAGGCCAAGGCAGGAGGATCCCTTGAGCCCAGGAGTTTGAGGTTGCAGTGAGTTATGATGATACCACTACACTCTAGGCAACAGAGGGAGACCCTGTCGAAAGAAAGGAAGGGAGGGAGGGAGGGAGGGAGGGAAGGGGAAAGGAAAGAGAGAGAGAGAGAGGAGGGAGGGAGGAAATGAGAAAAAGCTTACTTAGGCTGCTGTGTGGATGGAAAAATGGTCTGTTGGGAGCAGGGGCAAAAGTAGGGAGACAAATTAGGGGACGCTGCTGATGATGACTGGATTAGAGTTATTAGAGTTTGACAAAATTGGTCAAATTTGGGTTTTGTATTGGAGCTAGAACTGGCAGGATGCTGATACAGGGAACGGGAGAAATCCCAAATGATCCCTAGGTTATTTTGAGAAGACAGTCATTAGAAGGAATCTACGGTTCTGATTTGAACATTCAGTCTTTATTCTGAGGTAGATGTCCTTGGAGCTAATGATTCCTGGGTTATAAGGAATTCTTTGTAGAAAATATCCTGAACATGTTTTTTCCTTTCTCAGTAAGTTTTTTCCCAATTAATTATAAAAGTTATAGCTATTGCTTTAGAAAACTTGAAAAGTACAGAAATACATAAATAAAACTGAAATCACCTGATGTCGCAGAAATAACAACTAACATTTTAATATATTTCTTTCAAAATATATACACACACATTTCTTGTTTTTATATATATAATTAGGATCATAATTTAGTTTTATATTTTTTGTTTTCAGTTTGTCTTTTATTACTAAAAATACTAGAATGAACATCCTTATGCATAACACCCTTTGTTTACATATATGATTTATTTCTTGAGGTTAAATCCTAGGACTTGTATTATAATCCAGAGCATGTCAACATTTTTCAGGCTTATGATGCTTTTGGACAGTTTTCCTCCTGAAAAGTTGTATATTCTTAATTCCCTTAACAGCAACTTAGGAGAAGATCCATTTTATCACATTCTGAATAACGTTAAATATCATCTATTTTTAATCTTTGCTGTCCAATAAGCGAAGCATTTTATCTCTATTTTAAATTGGATTTTTAAATTTAACTTTATTTCATTTCCATTTATTTACTGGCTATTTGAATTTTTTGTGAATTGCATGTTCATTATCTTTGCCCATATTGACTTATTTTTCTTACTGATTTGTAAGAGGTATTTATACATTAAGGGTGTTAGTTCTTTTCCTGTTATATATGTTGCAATATGGTTTTCCTAGTTTACCATTTGCCTTTTAATTTTGTTTATTATAGTTTTTGACAGAATTCTTTTTATACAGAAGCTTGACAATAAATGTAGTCAAATCTTTTTCTTTGTTATTCCTTCTACACCACTTATCTTTAGAAGAGTCTTCCCCATTCAAAGATCAAATAACCAACTATATTTAATCTAATTTTATACTTCATTAAGATTTAGAATGTAGGGTTTGAATTTTTCTTCATGATTATGAAAATTTTCTAAACATTAGATATTCTCTTATTTAGCGCCTCTAACTTTTCTGTCATAATTATTGGCATTTATTTTAAAGATTCCGATTGATTCCTCACTTCAGGTTTTACAGACATTTCACCAGAGGAGTTGAGGCTTGAATACCATAACTTCTTAACCAGCAATAACTTACAGAGTTATGTAAGTTTGTTTCCTATTCATCTACCTCAACAGATTAGCTGTTAATTACTATTTGCTTTGTTTGATTGTGGCTTGCTTGTATTTTGGCAAAGTTGATGAGGTCTATAATTTTTTTCAGAACAAGGCTACTTTTATTTTCTAATTACTTTCTTTGAAATTGGTTGATTATCTAAAATGATGATAATATATTTTGACTGTAGGAATTAGGATTATCATTATTTTTATTATAAATTACCCAGCAATCAGTCCCAGAAATCAAACCCTTTCATCATTTGACAGACATTTATTGAATATCTGTTAGGTGAAAATGCCATGATGAATGAGCTTTATAAAAAGTTAAATAGAATGCAGTCTGTTACACAGATTAACATTGTCACATACCAAATACCAAAACAAATTAAAAATCTGGACTAGAATAAGTTGGATACCTGAAGGACACGATGTAGACTCTATATTTTTCTGTTGTTTACAGACATGATCATGCATTTCAATTAGTACATATATATTCACCTTCCATCCACATATAACTAACTACTGCCAAGTACTTGTAATTATTAAGCAGGTGATACAAGGAGTTAAAGAACAGGGAGAAAGGGACTAGAGATGGAATATCTTTGGCAAATAGAGGCTGGTTAGTGCAAAATTATGGGCCATAAAACTGTTACACAAACTTTTTGTGATTTTGGCAAATAAATGCATGAAGTTGTTATTGAAGAAATGAAACACACAATATTAAGTCATCTTTCTGTCTTTTCAGCTAAATTCAGTCCAACAGTTAATAAATCAATGGAGGAACAGAGTAAATGAACTGAAAAATATAAACATATCAACTAAAGTAGCTTTGGTGAGTATTGGAGAATTTTCTTATCTGTTGCTTTTTTGCAGAGATGATATTTCACTTTGGATTGGGAAGCAAAGCAAAAAATCTCTGTCAAGAATTATAATACACACATTCCTGAGATATCATCATTTAGAATCAAGGTTCTGAAATTGTTTTCTCTCTGTTCCTCAGTCAGAAAAACATAGATTATTATGCTTTTTAAAAACTATTTTTAGGGTAAAGTTTTTAACTTTGGTAGTACTAGTTTTAAAAATTGAAAATACTACATAAATTCAAGTATTTAAGGTTATCTGTGTTTCAAAAGAAATTACTTTGAAAAATAATATGAATGCATATTCAGACTAAAATATGCTTTTGTGACTGAAGGACACTTATTATATGTCCCTTGTCATATACAAAAATGCCTTTAGAAGATATGTACCCACTTGTCTCCAAAGATACATGGTCCTCACTGTAGCATATTTGTTATTTTTGTCAATAAAGTTATGATTTTTCTGTCTCTATAAAAAGTTCCTAAGAACCTTATTTTAGAATAAGATAACTGCATTTAGAATTTTAACATTTCCAATTTCTCAGGCAGTTTTTTTCTACTCTCTAAAAAAGGATATGAGAGTAGTATCTGCCTAAACTTATTGTATGAGTGACAGTCCCAATACCCCACCCTTTTCTTAAATATGTGCTTCCTAAATAACTAGATTCTTGTGCAAGCTAACTTTTTTCACCTTTCAGTTGTAATGCTATTTGAAATTAGTGGAACTTGGAAGTATTTGGTCCCTATGTGAAAAGTGGCCATTGATGAAAGCTGATGGAGAAGGGATAACAGTCCAAAGAACTGTGGAACTTCCCTCAGGGCTGGAAGTTCTCTGCTCTTTGCTAACTTCCTAGAGCCCCTCCATAGGTGAGGATCTGGGACAGCCCACCCACAGCTGGCTTAGCATGTTTCAGTAGTTCAGGTTTTCTTTATGCTGAATGGTAATCCATTGTATATATATAGTATAGTCTGTTTATCCACTTACCTGTTAATGAATATTACACTGAAGAGAGAAGCCAGACTTAAAAAAAAAAAAAACAATGTATGCCATATGATTCCATCTGTATGAAACTCTGGAAAATACAAGTCTCATCAATAGTGATAGAAAGCTGATAAATGGTTGCCAGGGAACAGCAGTTAAGAGGGGTTTACTGGAAAGGGACACAGGAAAACTTTCAGGGGTGATAGAAATGGTCTGAATCTTGATTGTGGTGGTTATAAGTTTGTCAAAACTCACTGAAATATACATAAAATGGGTGCATTTTATTCCAAGTAAACTATACCTTTAAAAAGTTGATTTTTTTGAAAAATGCTATGGGGACTTCCAAATAAAAGAAATCATTTATATCTGCTTGTGTTGATTAGGAGAGGTTTCTTGGAGAGAAGGAGTAAGTGAATAGAAAGGGAGACTAAGATTTCAGTAAGCAAAAATGAAAGGCATTTCTAGAGTAGGGAATACTGCTCTCTCTATATTTTTAAATATATGTAATATATTTTAGAATATACTTTAGCAAAAGCATAGAGTACTTTCAGGAAATAGGAAATATTTAATGATTTTAGTGGTAAGCTTTTAATAATGTAATTGTGAATCTACTTCAGTTCAAGCATTAGTGTAGACTAGGTATCCCATAAAGGTCCCTCATCCCTAATATCTAGATTTCTTCATAAATGCAGAGCCGACCTTATAGGCACTAAAAAAATATTTAAAAATATTTTTCTGATTATAATATGTGCTCATTGTAGAAATTTCAAAAGTATAAAAAAGGATATATAAAATTTAACTCAACCATAATTCATCAGGCAGAGATAATCACTATTAACTTATTGATGTCCATTTTTTCTATGCATTATTATTAGTTGAGATTATACTGCTTATACAGTATTATAGCCTACTTTTCATCATCATATTATGGGAATATTCCATGTTTGTTTGGTTTTTTTCTATTTTTTTTTTTATTTCGGCATATTATGGGGGTACAGATTTTAAGGTTTCAATAAATGCCCATTCCCCTCCTCCCCCCCCTGAATATTCCATGTTGAACATTTAACTTCACATTTTTACATGCACATTTTAAAAATTGAATTTGGTTGTGTAAAGTATATAGAAAAGGTACTTGAATTATTTATCAAACACTTTATTATTTCAATACTTTTTTAAAGCTCTCTGATGTAAAGGATGGAGTAAATCAAGCAGCACCTACATTTGGATTCGGTAGTAGGCAAACAACAACATTTGGGTCACCAGGTAAGTGATAAAAGTAAAATTTTATAGGTTTCAAATTATAAAGCCTGAATCACCATTTTTATTTATTTATTTTTTTTTTTTTTGAGACAGAGTCTCACTTTGTTACCCAGGCTAGAGTGAGTGCTGTGGCATCAGCCTAGCTCACAGCAACCTCAAACTCCTGGGCTCAAGCAATCCTTCTGCCTCAGCCTCCCAAGTAGCTGGGACTATAGGCATGTGCCACCATGCCCAGCTAATTTTTTGTATATATATATTTTTAGTTGGTCAATTAATTTCTTGCTATTTTTAGTAGAGATGGGGTCTCGCTCAGACTGGTTTCGAACTCCTGCCCTCGAGCAATCGGCCCACCTGGGCCTCCCAGAGTGCTAGGTTTACAGGCGTGAGCCACCACTCCCAGCCCTGAATCACCATTTTAAATTATACTTACCACCTTCCATTATGGAGCCTCAAAGAATTTAGCTCATTAAGCATTTGTGAAAGGGAGGCCAGAATGAGCATGTCCTTTGAAAGACCCTATGGCTCAGGCTTTAGAAGTACATTCTAGGAATGGTTGTTCAAGAGTTTCATAGGAATACATAGCTTTGATAGCATCACCTTTGAGAACTTTCTAGTCACTGTATATAGCAGCATAGCATTGCCCTTCAGTGTCAGCTCTGGTGAGATGGTTGGCAAACCAAAAGTCCACTCCCTGGTCCTTGAGGTTTCTCCTTGGGTGAAGGTGATCACAGTGTAAATGGGATTGGTAGCAGAAAGGACAGGATAATAGGGTGTAATGGTTTTGTTCGAGCCTATCATTTTTACTTCTCTTCCATCTAATAAGCTTCTAAACATCTAAACATGGCATTAAAAAAAAAAAAAAAAACATGGCAGAGACTGGGAGGATAATATGGCTACATTTTCTGACTGTATTTTTGTTTTGTTTTTTATAGGTTTTCCAGTTAATAGCAGCAGCAGTGATAATGCTCAGAATTTCAGTTTTAAAACAAACTCTGGATTTGTCCCTGCCCCTTCTGGAAGCCCTTCTGGGTTCAGAAGTCCTCCAGCATTTGGAGGTGTATCTTCTGCCAGTTCTGCCATCTCTACTTCTACTCCAGTTTTTGGATTTGGGAAACCTGAAATCACATCTGCTGCTTCATTTTCATTTAAAAGCCCTGCAACTTCCACTTTTGGATCACCCGGATTTTCAGGATTTTCAGCTTCCTCAGCAGCAGACCCTGTCAGAGCTCCACTGGCCCCGGCCTTTGGAAGTGTCAGTTCTGTGGCTGGTTTTGGTAGTCCGGGCTCACATTCTTACAGTGCTTTTTCCAAGCCATCTAATGACACCTTTGGAAATAGCAGCATACCCACCTCTCTCTCAGTATCAAACAGCATCGTTGCAACAGATAATGTGTTATTCACACCCAAGGATAAACTAACAGTAGAAGAAGTAGAACAATTTCAATCCAAGAAATTTACTCTGGGAAAAATCCCATTAAAGCCACCACCTGTGGAGCTTCTAAATATTTAAAAGGACAATTTTAAATACAAAAAAAGAATGGCTTTAAAATTATTTTGAGTGGTTCGTATAAAAGAGCATATATCTATATATACACACACATATATGTATATACATATGCATGTATACATAAGGAATATAAGTTTTCAATAATGACTGTAGGGGTTTTTAACATTTTTTTCTTAAGCTTATTTAAGTAAATTGTAATAAAGACTCAGCAAGCAAGGGAATTTTTTTGTACTGTAATTATGAATGAATGGAACTGAAAAACTTATGCACTAAATAAAGTACTTATTCTATACCACATCACTGTCTAACCTTTTAAAGTTTTACCTTTAAGCATTTTTTGAGGGGGGAAAGAGATAATTTCTGGAACTATTAGGGGAAAAATACTCAAATATTTAGCCTACTTATAGAATAAACATCAGTAGTATTGCTTTCCTTCATGTTAAAGATTCTCTTAAAAGGATAAAAATACCAGTTTTTAAAGGATGAGAAGCTTTGATTTTTAGGACCTAAGAGGCATTTTCCCCTCATAATTTTGTTCCCCTCTCAAATTTGGCATCTCATGGACCACCACTGAGTTTTCTTCAACAATCTTAGGCTAATTTTTATCTTGTCCTAATTTCTGTATAATTCTGTTTAATCCTCATGTTAATCTATCAACTGAATTAACTATAAGAGGAATAGGAATTGTGATCTCAAATGAATTAATAGTGTATGGGGTCAGGATTCACCAGCTTCTGTTTCTAGGTCTATTAGAATTCTCAGGCATGTTTGGATCTCCCTGTGTCCTCAGACTGAGGGAGTAAGATGAATCTCTTGTGTATGGATGATCCAAGACACTAAAGGCCTCATGAGCTGAAGCAGATATGTCAGAGTTCTGTGCTTTTTTTTTTTTTAATTGTTCTCTAACATTAACATATATACCTGATAAGTTCTGTGCTTTCTCAGGCCTCAAACGTTACACAGCACTGCCAGAGCAGTTACCTAACATGAGTCTGGTATTGAGCTGGTTTTTTTTAAGTGAGTAAAACCTTACCTAATGAGAGATAAGCACTCCAAATGATTTTAGCATATATGTGAAGGATCTAGTCCCCAAAGGATCCATTCTCCGTTATAGTTTTTGAAGAATTATATGATTCCAGCTAATAGTTTTAGAACTCCAGCATTTGGGACAGAATCCATACCCAGGGAGTATATATGTTTGAAACCATCATTTGTGTAGAGATGCTAAATAGACCACAGGTTCCTTCTTTGGTCTCAAGCTCTGAAGACTTAATATTTTAGCCACTGAATCCTAGAATTTTCCTGCCCCCATGAGATGAGCCGTACACTACCTATAGATTGGTTACAGACTCCCTTGGTCCCAAACTTTGCAGTGTCCTTGAAGCTTCCAGAGGATGCAGGTTGAGAGCCCACTGTTCCCAAATGTGCCTGATTATAAGAATCACCTGGGGTGCTTGTTAAAAATAATATATCCAGATAATAAATCCAGATTTCATGGCATATCCATTGTGATGGGCTTGGGGATGTATTAACATATATTCCTAGTGATCCTTCAGGCAAGTCTGGGATACAGAGCCTATCCAGCTGTATTTAGGCTACTTAGTAATATGTGATTTGGGAGTTTTAATTGTTAAAGTCTGTTTTCTGTGCTCATGCACACACACAAATGTAGTGAATTTAATGGCATCCAAAGTTGGCACAGATGAGGGCTATGGGTTATTTAAAAGTGAGAAACCAAAGCAGAGAGGCCTACAAAGTAGAATCCAGGAAGACCAGTAACTCCTAGACCCAGGCTAAGGGGCAGCAGGGCTTCAAAAGATCAGAAACATGTAACAATGTAGTAGTCAGGCATAAAGGCAGAACTAGTTTTCAGTTCCAGAGAGAGTGAAGGGAAAAGGCAACCACAGCAACAGCGTGTGCTACCATCTCCTGGGTTTATCCAGTGAGGCCAGAATTAATTCTGGGAGAGCTGGACAAACTGAAAGGTAAACCCTAAAATAAGCACAAACAGCCTCCCTTCACAGCTTCTGCAAACAGTAGCTGTCCCTTGCGCCTAGTGCCTAGAGCAAGTGACAGAATTGCAGATAAGGTTTTATTGCAAATAACTGATTTAACTTGCTTGATTATCTGATCACATATCAGAAGAGAATAGTGATAGCTGAGACCTAATTAGAATGGGAGAGAAAGTGAGCTGATGTTCAAGAAAACTATTTAAAAGGTGGAAAATGATTTAGCTACATAGTACTATTCATAAGAGTAAAATAATTCAACTTGAAGCATCAAACAATGATCGAATTGTGGTGGATTCATATATCAGAATACTACATAACCTTTCTAAATGACCTAAAAGAATAGAGAATAGGTTTTCCTAAAAGTTGGAAACCTAAGTTCCAACCTAAAAGTTGGAAAGCTTTTCATTCTATAGTCAATGGGCAAAATCTTGCTATAAAATAGCATGTACAATGTGATCCAATTTGGAGGGAAAGTATATATTCATAGGGAAAAGCCTGAAAGTTAACAACAGTAGCTTAAGTTTTAGAGAGCTTTTGCTATGCGTCAATGTCCTAAGTACCTTACGTCTATTAGCTAATTTCATCACTACCTTGTGATCTAGGTGCTATGATCATGATCCTCATTTTCCAAAAAGAAGACCAGGATTTAGAGATGTTAAATGACCTATCCAAGGTCACTCAACTAGCAAATGGTTGAATTGGAACTCAAATACTAGACTTAAGGCGGGTTGTGGGCCAGGGGTGTGGGCCAGGTGCAGTGGTTCACGCCTGTAATCCTAGCACTCTGGGAGGCTGAGGCGGGAGAATCGCTCAAGGTCAGGAGTTCGAAACCAGCCTGAGCAAGAGCGAGACCCCCGTCTCTACTATAAATAGAAAGAAATTAATTGGCCAACTAATATATATAGAAAAAATTAGCTGACCATGGAGGCCCATGCCTGTAGTCCCAGCTACTTGGGAGGCTGAGGCAATAGGACTGCTTGAGCCCAGGAGTTTGAGGTTGCTGTGAGCTAGGCTGATGCCACAGCACTCACTCTAGCCTGGGCAATAAAGTGAGACTCTGTCTCAAGAAAATTAAATTAAATTAAATTAAAAAAAAACTGGACGCGGTGGCTCATGCCTGTAATCCTAGCACTCTGGGAGGTAGAGGCAGAAGAATTGCTCAAGGTCAGGAGTTCGAGACCAGCCTGGGCAAAAGCCAGACCCTGTCTCTACTAAAAAAAATAGAAATTACGGGGACAAGTAAAAATATATATACATATAAAATTTGCCAGGCATGGTGGCACATGCCTGTAGCCCCAACTACTCGGGAGGCTGAGGCAGTAGGATCGCTTGAGCCCAGGAGTTTGAGGTTGCTGTGAGCTAGGCTGACGACACAGCACTCTACCCTGGGCAACAGAGTGAGACTCTGTCTCAAAAAAATACCCAAAACTTAAACAGATTAATGAAGACATTTTGTTTCCCCAAAATATTAGTTTATGTTAAAAATGATTACAGAAGAAAAAAACTCAAAATATCCGACCTATTAATACTCATGAAGGACAAATTAAAATGATGAGATACCACTTCATGCTCATCATCTTGGCAAAAATTGAAGTCTGTCAATAACAAGTGTTGGTGAAAATTTAATATTGTAGAAACTCTGATGCATTGTTGAAAGTGTGGATTGGTGCAAGTACTTCAGAGAACAACTTGGCACTATCTAATAACATTAAAGGTGCCCGCCCTCTACAACCTAGCATTCCACTCCTATGCAAGACCCTTCCTCAGAGTGTAGGACCAGCAGCATCAACACCACCAGGAACTTAATATCAGTGTAGAATGTCCGGTTCCACTCCAAACTTACTGAATCAGAGTCTGCTCTTTAACACAGCCCACCAGATGATTTGTACACACATATGAGAAACCACTGCATGTGTGTTCACACTGCATGCGTGAACAAGAAGACATGTACAAAAATGTACATAGTGCTGTTTGTGGTAGCAAAACATAGAAACAACCAGAAGCCCATCCACAGAATAACAAGTAAACTTTGGTATAATGAGACATATCTGTAAAACTCTAATTCTATGTATAAACCGTAATCAAAACAGGGCAGGTGCAGAATGCTATGTATGATATGCCACGTAAAGTACAAAAATGCAAAGCAATATTATAGTATTATTTATGGATACATGAGCATAGAAATAACAGCATGGGAATGATAAGCACCAAATTCAGAACAGCATCTGAATTTCTCCTTCTCCTAGGGAAGAAGAAAAGAAATGGGATCCAAAGAGTATATGCAGGGGGCTTTATATGTGACTTTTAAAAAAGTCTAAGCTTAATATGACAGTGGTAAAATTTGACAATGGGTACCTAGTTATACTTTATATTATTTTCTATACTTTTCCATATCCTTGAAATAAGTTTACAAAGTTCTAAATATTTACTTTAGAAAGAAAAAAGGAATGCCTTCTTTTCCAAGCATAAATTGTGTAGTATCAAATAGCTTTCAGCTACTGTGAATCAGCTGGTTTGCCAATTTGTCCCTGAGTCTGTTGGATAAAATATGCCACACTGATGAAGCTTGTGGTTCAAATACTGAAGCACAGGAATAAAACTACTCCAGAGGCCGGTGGTGGCTCACGCCTGTAATCCTAGCATTCTGGGAGGCCTAGGTGGGAGGATTGCTTGAGCTTGGGAGTTTGAGACCAGCCTGAGGAACTGCAAGACCCCATCTCTACTAAAAATTAAAAAAAATAAATAAATTAGCCAGGCAACTGAAAATAGAAATAATTAGCTGGGGCATGATGGTGCGCACCTGTAGTCCCAGCCTCTCAGGAGGCTGAGGCAGCAGGATCGCTTGAGCCCAAGAGTTTGAGGTTGCTGTGCGCTAGGCTGATGCCATGGTACTCTAGCCCAGGCAATAGAACAAGACTCTGCCTCAAAAAAAAGATTAGATCCAACAAAAGCTCCCGTTCTCTGGCCTGGCTTGGATCACGTGTCCATCCCTTTGCCAGCTCCTCTGCCCCTGCCTGAGCACTTCGAGACTGGAAGTCCTCAGAGCTCCACCAGGCTATATTTCTCTCTACATTTCCTCCACAAGGACCCGCTTTTACCCACTCTTCTGTTGTGCCGTCTTAGCACGCGACATCCATCCTTAAGGATGCCTCACAATCCAAAACAGCTGCTGAAGCTCCAGACCCTTCTTAACATCCACCTTCCAGCCAGAGGGCGCGAGAGCACAGGGTAAAAAGAGCATACTTGAAACTGCCTTGCGGAGGTCACTTCTTGCCTCTTGCCTGG